TGATAAAATTCTTTTCCAGAAAAATCCCAGATTGACTTCTTTCTTTCCCCTTGTCCTAGCAAAAATTAGCCTCGTGGGCAAGTTCCTTAGCAACACTGTGTTCCTCACAGGTATGTAGGAAATGTATATGATATTAAGTCTCTCTTATTTTTCTTGGTTTTCATCCATCTATCTAGTACTTGCCTAAGAAAGAAATTTGGTTTTTGGGATGTTAGAATTTGCAACTCTGAAATTAATTTAAAATTCCAGTCCTAAGAAAAACTAACAGTTACAATTGGTATCTCTCCCTTAAATTTTTTCTTTTATCATTATTTAAATGGTGGCCAAATTTCATATAAAACTAAGGTCTTATTAAGTTTAAGAATGAGAATTTGTTAAACAATATCACTTTCTCTAAATATTGTTGAGCTTGCAGGTTTATATTTTGCTTCTTAGTATAAGAAAACTAAAATTTAATGACATCTCACCTAAACAAATTAAGACAGTTAAAATATGTGTTTCCGTACAGTTATCCATGATAATAGGGTGGTCCCCAGGTAAAGGGGAAGTTCCAGGTTCCCTGCCCCACCCAAAGGAAGGGAGAGAAGGGAGCTGAGAAGGGAGAGAAGAACCTGCAGTGGAGACTGAGAAGGAAAGAAGCAGGATGGAGCCAGAAGGAGACCTGGAGGAGGCACATGGAGCTGAGAGACACGTGCAGAAACTGCACTTGCCTTTTGGTCGTGGACTGGGTGACAACAGCATGGGCGAGAGACCGGTGGGGAGGTGACAATGGTGTTTTTTGTCTTGATTTTGATTTTGCGCTTTTCCTCCCAGATTTGTCTGGTTGTTTCTGATCCTTTTCTGTGGGTCCCCACTGGAAGGCGCTTTAGACTTGGGACAGGCTTTCAGGCCTTGCTCTAGGCCAATCCTGTATGGGTGGACTTTTCCCCACAAGGGGACAGGTAACTTTGGATGCTTGATTTAGAAACTATATTCTTTACCTTTCCTGCATTGTTTACTAATTGTATTAACGTTCCTTTTCATTTAAGTCTCATATGTTTTCTGTTGATGCGGCGGATGGCAGAACCTAGTTAGAGCAGGCAGGTTTGTGGTGTCTGGGCTGCCCTTCTCCCTGACCTCTAACAGATTCTTTGTCTTTTCTGTATTGTTTACTAATTGTGGTAAAGTTCCTTTCCATTAAAGTCTTAAATGTTTTGTGTCGATGCGGCAGATGGCAGAACCTATTTAGAGCAAGCAGCTTTGGGGGTTCTGCGGTGCCCCTCTCCCTGCCCTGTAGTAGACTGACTACTGACACCTCCTGGATGACAAGTGATAGGGCCCAAGGACGTCACCAGGTCCCCAATGACATGGTCTCTGTGGTTAAGCCTAGGGTAACCCTGGATGTCACAGGTAAGATATTAATTTTCTGATTGCTATAGGAGCCACTTACTCTGTACTCACCCAGCATTCGGGACCCAACTTCCCCTCCTCACAAAATATAATAGGAATGCCTTAATGGCAGACAGAATAGAAAGACTGGAAAGGAGGTACCCTGACACCAGAACCTGACTCACAAGGAGGTAGGGATAGAGGGAAATAGCATGACCATTAACTCAGCTGTAGAGGTCGTGACCCTTAGGCACCAGGGCCTTATCACAAGGCATGAGACCCAAGCAGGATCAGATGCTCTAGGGAGTGGAGCACAGACCTGAGGGGAAAGATTTGGAGATTGGGCCCATCCTGGAATCTCCACTCCCCATCCTGGTATCTCCGGTCCCTCTTGGATTCTGCGTGGTTATCCAAAATCAGCAACCAACTGACGGCTCACAAGGAGTGACCCCCCCAAACAGAAGAGGACTGTGTCTGTAAAGTCTCTGCAGTGGCTCAGGGCAGCACTCCCTCTACCCACCTGGGACTGTGTAGGTTCCTCTTCTTACCAACTCTCTCCCTCTGCAGGGCAGCAGCTTCCTGCCCGCCTATGACCTGTCAAGGCCGCCTGCCTGCAACCATGCAGGCCTCTCTCAGCAAAACCTGCCCCTTTCCCTTTCCCTAATAAACCTGTTCTTTAAATATAACTACCGTCTCTGTCTCGTGGAGAAACTCGCCTGGGAAACTCGCCGCATGCCACTGACAGGGGAGCACTGACACCTTTCCCAGAGTGAACCCCAGGACCCCGCTGTAACGCAACCAACCCATTCCAGGTGGGTTTATGAACGGTTCTAGCAGCCACATGCTCCTCGCCCTTGTTTGTAGTCACCGTTCTCCTCCGCACACTCCACTGCTCTCCTCCACCCTCGACACCACACCCCCACCCTACTCCAGGTGCCGCCATCAGGCCTGCGTTCAGGCCCACAGGGATCCGTCATCTCTCCTAATGGCGGGAGGGCAGAAAAGCCTGATGCTTTTTAACTTACCCTACAATCCACCCCCTCAGGGTTTTCTGCCAGACCATCTACATATATACAATTTTGTTTCTTAGCAAACATAAACAATGCAGCCATGGCCCACAAAAGTGAATAGTATACATCACACTATAACAACAAAATACAACAGAACACAAGTTAGTCCAGGCGAGGTATCAACCTAGTGGCAAAAGACATTCATTGGCACCAGCAGATGATCCACCAAATCCACCAAATCTGCTGCCTAAGGCACTGCAGCATGCAAGGCGGGAACTAGCTTATTTAACTCATGATAATCTACCCTCATGCGCCAAGAGCCATCGGGCTTCTTCACTGGCCACACCGGTGAATTGTCGGGGCTGTGGAAAGTATGCACAATGCCCACTTTCTCCAGTTCTGATATTGTGCCCGTAATTTCCTTGTAGCCTCCGGGCAACTGATATTGCTTGGTATTAGTCACTCGCCTAGGGACTGGCAGTTGTGTGGGCAGATGCTTAGCGTGTCCGCTCACCACTGCCTTTACCACACACACTCTAAGGTGAAACTCTCTGGCTGTGGTCTCTAGCCATAAGCCACGTAGTACTTCCACCCCCAGGATGTACTCCAGGATGGGCGATACATATACTTTATACTCTTTTGGGGGGTAATCACCCAATCCCCAGAGATAGTCTCACTGCTGTCACCTTGACACTCTGGCCTCCATAGCCATCAATACAAATAGACCCGTGAAATCTTTCTGGATTTCCATAGAGCAGAGTACATTCTGCTCCTGTGTCTGCCAGAGCTAAAACCCTTTGCATGTTAGTTGGGGACCAGTGGATGGCAAGCTCCACATGTGGCCTCCGGTCCCCCCCCGTCCCCTGTGGACAGGTTCCTTGGCCCTCACCCTATTTGAAAGCGATCAGGCCATCACCCGAGGATAGGGTTGGCAGCAAGTATCTTCCAGGCGCAGGGTATTTGCCTGAGGCCTGGAGCTTCCAGGCTCCCCCTGAGCAGCAGTCCTTCTCATGGTCATGAACCTGTGGTCTTCTTGCAGCTGCTGCCATAATTCCAACAAACATAGATTGGGCTGTGCATGTATTTTACTGCTATCTACACCTGCTCTCACTAAATCTGTCCACATTTGGTTATGGGTGACTTTAATAAGTTCTGTGATGCCAAGAGGCTTCCTTTCCCTCCTTGGCATTCCTTTTCACTTTTCAACAACTACCCATATTCCCTTCTGAGTTTGAGAGTGCCAGTTCTCAACTTCGCCCAAGCTGGCTATCATTGTTGTGACGTCATGTAGCTGACGACCCACATGGGGTGCTACAACTGCCATGAGGGATCCAAATGAGGATGAGGGGACATTTTTTAATACTAAGTCTCTCATCCCTGCTGTGAAACGCTCGTCATCAGGACCACGGGAATTCACATTAAACATGGCCTACCACATCCCCAATTCCCGAATGACCTGTATCAGCTCGGCGTACGTCTCCCATCCACTTACTGTGTCCGGCACGTCTCCTGCATCAGCCAGACTGTCCGTATGGCAGCCATTATCCATTCCCGGAGGGTGGGGTCGCCCTGTTCATACCGCTGGCTGTTCTGTAGCCTCTGTCGCAAGGATGGGTGTAAAGCCACGGAGGCCAGTCTCTCCATCACTTGTGCCGTGCAAATAATCCCATCCAGCCCCAGGCCCCACAAATGTAGCAGCCAGGCTGCCAAGGGTTCCCCTGGATTCTGGTGGAAACTGTTTGCCCAAGTCCACCAGTTCCGCCTGGGTGTATGGTTGATAGGAAGTAAATTCTGTCATTTGTGGTGATCCAGCAGCCTGACCCCCCCCCCCGCTGGGGCCATGGGTGGCTGCTGCTTTATTTCTGAGTCACCACTTGGTGGGCCCGGAGCAAGGGACCAGCCTCCACCTCCTCTCCAGAGGAGTCCGGCATCTCCGGGGCCGCAGTTTGGTTTGCCATCGCCGGTTGGGACTCGGACAAAGGGCCAGCCTCCCCCTCCTCCTGTCCTGAGGAGGGGTCTGGCATCTCTGGAGTCGCAGGTTGGTTTGCCACCACCGGCTGCGATTCGGGCAAAGGGCCAGCATCCCTCTCCTTCCTGTCTGAGCTGGAGTCTGGCATCTCCAGAATGGTGGGTTGGTTTCTCTGAACTTCCTCCTCCAGAATCCTCAAATATTGTTGCAGTTTTCACATCTCTTCCCGCATCTCATCCCATACTCGCTGGACTCTAGATTGCTCTTTCTGCCTGGACTGTCGCAGAGCTGTGAGAAACACCCACCCCACTGCTCCTGTTACCTCGCGGGCACTGCACCCATTCAGGGTTTCTTCTATTTCATACAGGGCCTGTTCCAACTGCCCTGGGGATCCATCTACCTCTGGCCATTCCTGGGGAGGTGCCCACATGGCGAGGAGGTCGGCCACTGAGTACCATCTGCTCGTGGCCGGCCACCTGGCAATCCCTCCCCAGGTTCCAAAGGGTTTCGTCTGCGTAGAGCCATCCTGCTTTGAACCGTCCTGCCGTCTACGCCAGTTGTAATGCAACCAACCCATCCCGGGTAGGTGTATGAACGGATCTAGCAGCCACATGCACTTCATAGCTGTTTGTAGTCACTGTTCTCCTCTGTACGGGGTGGAACTGGGTGATCTCCCGCAGCTTGTCAAAATTAACCGCCTTGGAGACCGGCTGCTTCTTGGAGCCCAGCTAAGAGGCAGGTGATGAAGTGTCTCAGCGAGCCCTGCCCCCACGACCCGCGTCAGTGTCAGTCTGGTATTCCCAGCCAGGCTCCTGGCGGGGACCTGCTTCAGGGCCCGGGGGCATGGTTGTGTCAGTGAAGTGGACCTGATCTGTGTGGCCTCGAGCAGACTGAAAAACACGTTCTCTTTGATTAGAGGTCAGGGTGGAAGAGAGGATAACGTGTAATCATGACACTGAAGGTTATAGGTGTAACCTTAGGTGTAACCTTGGTAAGATAACGAAATTCTTTGGTGTAGGTAGTGGGATCGTTAGTGAAAGAGCCGAGACACTTTTCAATCTGGGAGAGATCAGACAGAGGGAAAGGATCGTGGACTCCACCTACTCCTTCGGTCCCCGCAACCTGCCTAAGGGGACAAAGAGGACGACTGTGAGAGCAGGTGTGGTGGCTGGGAGGTGGAAGGGGGGCCAGGCCTGGGAAGCTGAAGGAGGTGAAGACTGAACATCTAGAGGATCAGAGAATGCAGAAGAGGGGTCTGGAGAGGGTGAAGAGAGAGAAGAGCCTCGAGACTTGGGAAGTAGAACTGGTTTGCAGGAGGGAGGGACTGGAGCGCACGAGAAAGCAAGCCTGGACATGAGGGATCTCTGACCATGTTCCATTGCGGTGACAGAAACTGTTCAGGTCTGTAAGGACCGTGAGATGGAAAGCGCCCTGTTCTGGCCAATGAGAGCCATTCTCCAATGGGCACTGAGGCTGGGCAGTGTTGCAGGAGAAGACTAGACGCTGAGGCGCAGATCTGGCCTGAGCCCCAGCGGATCGAGGTTTGAGAGATGGTGTCCCAGAGGGATGGCTGGGCTCAGCTTGGAATGTGAGGACCCAATGGCTAAGTCGACTCCTCTCCCGAACGAATGGGGGTACAGACTCAGGAACGCAGTTTCCCATGACCTCATCTGACCTTTGGGGGCACAGGACCCGAATCGCGGCGTCCCACGACCCAGTCCTGGCCTTTGGAATGGTGGCAGGCGAGCGAGGGGGACATCTCCACCGCTCAGTTGACACCCGGACTGGGACAACTGGGCTGGACGGGCGTCCCCAAATCCAGAACCAGGAGCAATGGGGGTCGGCTGGCATAGGCCTGCGGTTTATGGAACAGTCAACCAGGATGGGGGTGAGGAGAGGAGCCGGGTAACAAGGGGTGAGGGCCTCCCAGGAAGGAGGGTCAGGCAGGTGACTCACCCCCAAGGATCAAGGCCTGTGGTGGATGTGCGGCGTCTACAATCGAGAGGAGAGTCCCAGGGATAGGGAGGCGGCCCTGGCGCCAGGGAACACAGCCTTCTGGGTTTCGGGCACCAAGATGAATGGTTTGGCGTGGCAAAGAAAAGGGGAGCCAGGCTAAACTTTCTCAAAGGAAGGGAAAACTCATTGTGCCCCAAGGCGAGCTTTGCTGACCCAAGGTGGGTTGTCCCTGAAGTCACGCCCGTTGTGGGGGGAGATGTCATTTCATAGGGTGAGGAGACATTAGGCAGGAAAACTGGGTTGGTAGCGGGGAAACAGGCTTAGGGGGAACAAAGTTGTTTTTTCGTGGAGCCGAGTTGTTTTCTCCTGCTTATGGCTTCAGTTTCTGTTTGATGGAATCAGGGGTACTGGTGTTAGGGCCATCTTATTGTTTGTATGTGGGCTTCCCCATTCCTGGCCCCTGCATCGACCTTTCATACCAGCCTTTTGTTGATAGGAAAAGGGGCGACGGTTCTTTCTTTGGCTACTTCCTGCTGGACGGGGGCGAAGACCAGGGTGGGGCTCAGGCCTGGTTATGAGATGGTCTTTGCAGGGACGCGAGGATATGGGTGGAGGAGTTGGTTAAAGGTGCTACGGGGCAGGTCTTGGATCCCGTGTTGGATGAAATGCAGTAAGCATGGGGCAAAAAGAAAAAAATAAGGTTAGGATCAGAGGCCCTGGGAGTGCTAATACCTTGCCTGAGGCTGTACTGATCTGGAATCTCTAGGCATAGACAGAAGAACGGGATGTGGCTTGAAGTGATGGGATTAGAAACAGAGGAGAGAGAGTCAGAGGGCCTCTGCTCTGTAGGCTGAGTGGAACCTGGACCAGGGGCGCAGTGATGCGTACCCGAGTTGGGCCCAGCACTCGCATACATACTGCTTGTCCACAGGGACCAGTTTGACCCTGCAAAGCTGATGCCAAGACGTGTTGCCCAAGACCTTGACAGCCATTGGTGTAGTCAGGATGATCGTGTGTGGACCCATCCACTTTGGCGGAAGTGATTTTGGAGAGATGGCTTTCAGAAGAACCTGGTCTCTAGGACACAGCAGGTTGACAGGTGCATCAGGGGACGGAGGCACAGGTTGTGGCAGACAACGGTCTGTGTGTTCTTGGAGCAGCTGTCTGAGCAAAGAGCAGTATGGAAAATATCCAGCCAACAGTGTAGGATGGACGGGGAGCTCATGGTTAGTAAGAGGAGGTCTGCCATACATCCGTTCAAAGGGGGTCAGGAACAAGGGGCCACAAGGGGTGACTCAGAGGTGCATTAAAGCCAGTGGGAGCAGCTCCACACAGAATTTCCCCAGCTCAGTGGAGAGTTTGGTTAGGTGGTCTCTGGTCAGACCATTTACCCGTTCTACCTTACCAGAGGATTGCGGTCGGGAGGGAATGTGTAGTTTCCAGGTGATGCCCAGGGAGGAGACCTGTGGAGTAATCTTTGAGATAAAGGCAGGTCCACTGTCCAACTGGTGATGGTGTCCACCATAGTAAGAAGAGGGTGTTATCTGCGTTAGGGAGTGGAACACCCGTGAGGCCTAGCAGGTTGGAGAGTCGTCGATTGGGAGAGGGAGATGAGAGGGTCTTTGACAAAGAGTAGAAATCTAACAGACAAGAGGGTGATGGAGGGGAGAGAGGCTGGTAAATGAGTTGGTCGTGGAGCCGATGTGGAGAACTAACATGTACAGGTAGGCCCAGTGTGGGTTTTAAGGCCTGTCTAGCGAGACGAGCAGCTGCCACAAGTGTGCGCAGGCGGGCCTGCCATCCTCTTACAGTGGGATCCATTTGTTTAGAGAAATAAGCAACTGGTCGCTGGACAGCCCAGGTTGGCCCAGAACCCCTAGAGCAATGCCCTGTTGCTCATCTGTCAATTACAGGAATGGCTTTCCCGGGTCTGGGAGAGTGAAGGCTCATGTCAGAGAGCTTTGCCTGGATAAAGCAGAGAAAACAGGGTGCAGAAACAAAGAAAAGCATAATCATGATCACTGGGCCTACTAGGGGCAGGATCCATGATGTCTTGGCCCCACGTTCGGCTGACGAGGTAGCGATCAGAGGGGGCTTTGCTGGTCAGATGAGCAAGCCCATGAATGATTTGGAGGAGAGGGAGGCACGATTTCTCACCAAAATCTCTCTCTCAGACCTTCAACACTTTCTTTTGCTTGCTTTCATTCTAATGCCATTTCATTTTACCCATCCGGCTTTACATAATCTTAAGGCCCTTCAGAATATCCCTCTTCCATACATTTCTTTTTTCAAACACACATACCTCACCTCACTTGCATTTACCAGACTTAGCAAAACCTGTTTTAGAAGGGAATTGAACACCATCTAAACAATGATGAAAAAACACAAATTTAAGGTAGATAGCCCCTGTAGCTTTTCGTTCCTGACCCAGTGATTCAACTGGCAGAGAATGGTGTCCAAAGCCTGCATCTGTTGGGCGATAATAATGTTTCCAATTTGGCTAAGTTCACCCTGCAGGGTTTGAATCCAGGGAGGATGAGGGGTGGTTGGCCATCTGGAGAGGATTTTTAAAAGGAGAAATTCCAGCTGGGCTGACACTGTGTAAGAATCCCAAGCTGCAAAAGTTCAAGGTGACAATGCTCACTGCGGGACTGAGATTGATCATAGCCTAGGGCTTCCTGGTGTAGGAAGATGGGGTGCAGATTTTCCATCTGAGCAGGTCGTGTGGAGTAGGGCTGGCCTGTGAATAAACTCTGTCCACCTTGAAGAGTCCTGTTTGGATTCTAATATACTGGTCCCCGAGTCTTTCTTAAGGGGAGCTAGAGACCCTCTCTATCTGCTCCTTGCAATCTGCACGTTTTACCACCTGGGCCCAAGCCTTTGCAAGAGCTCCTGCATCCTCTATGCCATCCCTGTGCCCAGGATAGAGCAGCAGGTCTCTCCCAGCAAGGGGGCAGTATGGTTCTCAGGGAACTGAGCCTATGATGGGGGAGAGAGGTCCAGGGTTTCCTGCCTCTGGCCCTGGGGCCTCTGACCCTGGGGCCATCCACACAGCCTCATACCCTCCTGGGCCCTGTACCTGCTCAGCTCTCCCCAGCCCCTCCACACCCCACCACTCACCCACTCTGCTCCACTCCAGGTGTTTCCCCAGTTCCTTGGCCCTCCTGGCCCTTCACCTGCTCTGCTCCAGGGACATCTGTGCTCCAGGGACATCGGTTTTGCCCAGATTTCTGTGCTGCAGTCCCGTGGGTCTCATGCTCCTCCTGGCTCCTGTGACTGGACCCAGTCCCTGAGCCTCTCCAGAGCCTCAACCTTCCCTGGTGTACTCCTGTTCACCATGGCCACTGAGTGGTTGTGCTTTGGGGGTGGGGAGGCTTTTTTCTGGTTTGGTGCTATTTTTAGTCTTTGTTGCTCTGCAATTCGAATGCTGAACAGCAGCAACAAAATTCTAGGATAATATCTAATACCCTATCTCTGGCCCTGATGATTGCTGAAGGGGCCACTGCACTGGAAGGCCAGCCACGTCTTGGGGGAGGTCTTAGGGTGGTGCTGCAGGGCTGGGGAGCTGGACAGATTGTGTTGGCCCTGCTTTCCTGGTCCCTCTCCAGCTGGGGGCCTGTCTCAGTGGTGCTGCTGTGCTCCCCAGCGTCCTCCAGCTGGAGGACTGACACCAAGGTGCTGCTGTGCTCCCTGGTGTCCTCCTGCTGGGGTCTGGCCACAGAGGTGCTGGTGTCCCCCCAGGCGTCCTCCAGCACCGGGCCTAGCGCAGAGGGTCTGCCCTTCGGGCGTCCTTTAACAGGGAGCCTGGCCCTGCGGAGGTGGTGTGCTTCTGGGCGTCCACCAGCTCAGAGACACCTGCAAAGGTGACCCTTTTGCCCGGGGTGGCATCCGTTCCCCTCTTATGGACTTCCTGCTTTCGCAGGATACCCGGCCTTGGGGTATTCCCCGAAACCTCAGGCTGCGGGAGGCAGTCCTTGGAATCGGGGTCACTGGGCTCCCGAAAGGTGACACGCTTTGGCACCCGGGAGGTGACGCGCCTGGTCTGCTCCTCCCCCTCCTCCTCATAGTCCTCCTCCCCCGCCTGCTTCCTGGAGCGGAGGATCAGGTAGGTGGCCATGACCTTGTCGTACTTGTTAGCGTCAATGGCCTCCCGAATTTCCTGCCTCTGATAGCCCAGGCGCTCCATAGCTTTGGTTATGGCCGGGTCCTGGGGGCTGAGCGATGGCTCGCTGAAGGGCAGGAGTCCCTCGCTCGTTTCTGCTACCCAGGCGTGCTGCTGGATTTTCTCTAGGGTGCTGCGCCTCCAGGGGTCTGGTGCCAGCATTTTGGCCAGTAGGTCCTGGCATTGCTCCGTGAGGTAGTTAGGCAGATGGACCCACCTTCCCAGGACGCGCACCCTGATCGCCTCGAGGTTTGGGCCCCTGAAGGGCAGTGTGCCAGTCAACATTTTATAGAACACGATGCCCAGGCTCCACACGTCCACCTTGGGGCCATTGTACTGCTGGCCAAGATAGACCTCGGGGGCCCTGTATTCTGGAAGACAGCAGCACGTGCTCAGCACCCGGTTGAAGGCCTGGACGCTGAGCCCAAAGCCCACCAGCTTGACTTTTCCCTCTCGGGTCAGCAGAATGTTTTCGGGCCTCACATCCAGGTGCGCGATGCCTTTGGCATGGCAGTAGCTGAGGGCTGCGAGGATCTGCTTAAAGAGCGGGCGGGCCTCGCTCTCGTCCAGGCGCCCATGCCTGCTCAGGAAGTCCTGCAGGTCCTCCCCCTGCACGTACTCCATGACGAGCTGCAGCTCCGGCCCGGTGTCCACCACCTGGAAGAGCTCCACGATGTTAGGGTGGTGAAGGGCCTTCATGCACCCCATCTCGCGGGCCAGGAGGCGGAGGTCGGACAGCTCGGACTTGCGGACTTCCCTGATGAGCACCTTCGTGCCCGTGAGCACGTGCACCGCCAACGTCACCTTGGCGTGGGAGCCCCGTCCCAGCTCCCGCAGCACCAGGTAGCTTTTCCCTTGACGTCCCTGGAACATAGTGCCTATGCACTTGACTACGCTGACTACCCTCACCAGCCCTGACTGTGCTCCCAGCCCTTGTGCTAACTCCACTGACAGCTGACTCTCCTACGATATTAACAAATGTACTATTAATCTAGTATTAATAGTACTCAGAAAGTATTCACTCACCTCACTAAATACTAACAATGCTAACTTAACTCCACCAACAATACTAAGCACACTCAGCTTACTAGCAATACTAACTACACTACAAATGAATGAAACTACACAAACAAAAATGACAAATGAGATGTAAATGTAAAAATGTGATTAAAAACAAACTAATTTAAAACTAACCACTAAATTTAAGAATAAAACAGAACAACAAAGCCCAATAGAACAAACAACAGAACAAAAAACAATTAGAAACTAAAACCTGAAACAAACAAACAAACCAAAATAAAAACCCAGAGAAACAACAAAAGGGAAGAAAGAACAAACAACGAAGCAAGAACAAAATGGAAAATGGGGGAGATCACTCAAAAAATAAAATCAAAAAACTAAAAACTGACATAAAAGAATAAAAAATAAGCCAGTAACAAAACAATAAAGGAAAATAAAAAACAAGGAAATAAAAGGAAAAAGAAAAAGTAGAAAAAACTATAAGCAAATAAAAAAAACAAGGAAAATAAGGAAAAAACAAAGAAAGAAAAATAAAATAACTAAAATAAATAGCCTAAACAAATAATTAAATAAATAAACCAATAAATAAAGCAAAAGAAAACCAAATACCGCAAAACACAATCTCTCTCTCTGTGTCGGCGTCTGGAGTGCACAGGTCACTGTCCAAAGCTTCCCGGCTCCTGAGGACACAGGCGCAGTCCGGGCGGGCCTGATGTAGGCGGTGCCGGTGCCGTCACAATGGCTCTTTGTGGCGTCAGAGCCAGAGGCCACAGCCATTGGCAGAGGGAACCCCCAGCGGTTTCTCAGCCTTAACGAAAAAGCTGCCGCTTAACGGCAACCCTTGGAATGCCCGAGAGGCCCTTTCATCTGTCCTGAGCAATCCCGTCCTGGGTTTTGGCTTTTCAAGGCGTCCCCATCCTGGCCCTGCCTTGTGCAGATGCTTTACTGTCGCGCTCACACTGTGGAGAGAACAGCAAACAGGGGGCGCAGGCGGTTGGGCGCGCGCTGGGGAGCTGTCCACAGCCTCTGCCGCGCCCGCGAGGGGCCCACGTGGCGCGCAGACCCCTCCTGCTGCCCGCTGCTCCCCTCAGCAGTGGATTTCAGTCAGTCTGCCTGTTCTGTTCCCGGCTCTGTCTCTGGGGAATCCTCTCACCCTCCTGCACATCTGCCCTGCACCCCGGTGCTTGTATAAATAAAATAAATCTTTAAAAAAATTAAAAAAAGGAGTCACAGTTACTACTGTTGGAGTGAACTAGTAAGGTTTAAATTCTAAAATTTTCAAGAGGTAATTTCAGGATTCTTTTTCAGCCTGTCTTTCTTTTTGGGGTTTTAATTGTGTCATGGAGTCTAGTTTAGTAGAAAAATAACATTAAATAATAATACTATATACACAATAGTTCCTTTGAGAAGGAATATACTAACAAATCCAATAGGTCATAACAATACCAATGTGCTTAAAAACTAAACAAAAATGTTAGGAAATTCAGAATACTTTGTTTTTTAGGTTGCTTTTAACACTTTAGCCAAAATAAAGTGATTTAATAGTGATAAATATCAGGAACTATAAGTATCATTGTTTTAATTCTATATATATTACATATATCTATATGTGCACTTACAAATATATTAATATCTGAGGAAGGCGATTTAGAGAGGTTAATTACTTTTTCCAAGGTTACCTATATATGACATTCACTCAAAAGAAACAATGACTAATTATTGAGAAACTACACTGTACTTTTGTAGAATTGATAGTGTTCTACTGATCAAGATATAGAGAGACTGTTGTGATAAAACTGACTTTTCAGTGGCAGGGAATAAAAGCAATATAAATAAGTTTTAAAATATCCAACAGAGAAATAACAAATGGTGATAGGATCTGTACAAAGGATCAAAACAAACCAATTGAATTTTCAATAACATATAGGATAACATCAAAATATGAAACCCTTCAGGATATTTTTAATAAAATGTATGCATCTGTAAAGCTATGAAAACATTATTCTTTAATGGAAATTATAAGACTTCAATAAATGACAATATGAACTCTATTTACAGACCAGGATGCATACAGCAAAGTTTGGGAGAAATCACAATTGCAGAGGGGAGCACGGACAGGCAGAAATGACTGAATCACCCTGCAGTAAGAAAAAGGAGGTCAGTGTTTCATGTGGACAAAGGAGAAGGAATTGTGAGATAAGGTCACAGATATTCACAGAAACTAGTCACTCAGAACTTCCTAATTCAGGGTGATGGCCTGAACTTCATGCTAATTGTGAAAATGGAGAGAGATGTTGGTGAGTGGAGTGAATTGAATAATTTGTGTTTGAGAAAAATCTCTTTACATTGGGGAAACTAGATTGTAGGAGAACAAGAATGCAACAGGGAAAACAACCGAGAAACTTGCAGTAGACAAAGAGAGAGGTGTGGGTCAGAATGGTACTTTGCTTAGGATGTTAGCTAATAGGGCTGATTTGGATGGATATAGAAAGTGAGGGAAAGACAGAAATTAAAGATGATGCCAAACTTTCTATCCTGAGCAACTTGGTAGATCTAATTGCTATTTGCTTTTTTTTTTTATTTATTTATTTATACAAGCCCTGGGTACAGTCAGAAGTGCGGGAGGGTGAGAGAATTCACCAGAGCCAGAGCAGAGAACAGAATAGGCAGAATGACGAAATACACTGCTGAGGGGAGCAGTGGGCACAACAGGAGAGTTCTGTGGAGCCATGTGAGACCCTCGCTGGTGGTCAGGGATCAAACCTGCGCTGCAGAGGCTGCGGGCAGCTTCGCAGCCTTGCACTCAACCGCTGCGCCACCAGGGGAAACCCATGCTTTTTTTTTTAAGTTTTATTTTTATTTGCTGAATTCAGAAAACAAAGAGTAGAGGTTTGGGTAGATAGAAGATTGCTGTAGTTGAAGAAGTTAGATTCCATCTTCTTTTATAAGAAATCACACCACTCTAATATCTAACAAAGATTTATTGATATATAATGTTGTGGGGAAGAATCAAAGTGGAGACCCTGTTGCAGGGGTGAAAGAATTCACCAGAGACAGATGGGAAAGGTCAGGTGAATTTATTGAAATACACTGCTAAAAGAAGCAGAGGGCGAAAGCGGAAGGGTGTACTGCTCAGAGTTTGGGTCCCAAGTCTCTCTTTATACTCTAGACACCATTGACTGGTTAGGGTGACTAGTCTTGGGTGTGTCCTGACTGATGATCTGAATCAGCATAGAGGATCATCAGTTCTGGGCCTCACCAGCTTAAGGTCCATGTTTCCATGGCAGTTCCATCCCTACTCCCTTTATCATTCCAGCCTACCAAACTTGCCTGCTGGCCAAGGAGTGGGGGCTTGGTTTTCAAATTCTTAACGATACCTTGACAGACCAGAGGTGCAGGGGTGAAAAATTTCACCAGAGGCAGACTGGAGAACAGAAAAGGCACATTTGTTCAAATACACTGCTAAGAGAAGCAGCTGGGGAGACAGGAAAGACCTGCAAGTGAAGACAGATTTGGGGCTCCCTTTTATAACTGGTTTTGTCAGTTTTGCTTTGGGGAGTGAGTTTTGGGCTGGTTAGTGCAGGGGTGTCTGATCCTGGGGGGTTGATCTTTGACCCAGAATGTGTCCTGGCCATGCCTCCACATTCCTGGTCAAAGGGATCCATCTTACGGTTTGGGACCCAGAGCAGCCTTATCAATTCTCTCTGTGTTCAAGCCTCACAAACCTTCCTGCTGGGCAATGGGTGGGGTTTAATTTTAACCTTATTTAACGCTACCCCACCAGATACCATTTGATTTCTGTTTTCCTGCCACAGTGGATACTTTCCTATATGCGATTTACATTCCCTCTTCCTGGTCTTCACCTGTCTGCATCTGTTAAATTCAGAAGTCTCTACTGACAGAAACAATTCAAAGCATGCACTTTATGACTTAACACTCTTACATCAATAAGTGTCAAGTAAATTACCAAAAAGGGAACCCCAATTCCCCAAAGGCTAAACACAGAAGCAATTCTATGTTTTCTTAAGAGAGAATTTCTGACAATTAGGTTGTAAGTTATGGTACAATCAAAAGAGCAAAAGGGGGTTGAATTGGGTTGCTTTATTTTTTTATTGCTCATTCCCTGTCAAAACCATGTTTAAATACCAAATATTAAAACATGTGCCCATCAAATAAGCAAAAATAATATAAATTCTGGAAAAAGGAAAGAAAATACTGTGATTTCCAGAGAAAGGATCATGTTGTCACTCCTGCAGTATACATCTGGCCCAACACGGGTGTCAGGGTATCATTTCATAAGTTTAAAAACTAAGCTCTCACTCTTACCCCATAGTCATGTTTGAGAGACTTGAGCAGAGAAGGGCATCAATTAGGCTGCCACGGGAACTGGGCCACTAGTCTGACCACCATGGCAGATAAACCAGTCCAACTCCAGGAATGCAGAGGCAGGGCCTGCACATGTGTGTGTCAAAGGGTGTCAAAGGTCTGCACCCAAGAGCAGACATCCCAGCTGATAACCCGTGCAAACTGGCTCCCCAAGTAAGAAACCCTATGTAACCCTAGTGTAAAAGTCTCAAATCCTTCACACACAGCTGTATAGCTCCCTCTTGTCCCCTGTTCCCTTGCAGGCTATTTCAATAAATCCTCCTTTTCTGTTCTCTACTCCATCTCTGCTGCACTCTTACACCCCCATACCTCACACATCCCTCAGCTATGGTTCCACAACAAAGAGTGCTTAATAATGTTTGTTCAACTTAATGAACTATCCAATCATCGCTTATATCACTGACCCCTGAATTATTATTATTGAATAATAATTCAACCCCTGAATTATTATTATTTCTGATATAAAT